CGTGTACGGACGGAGCAGGTCGAGTGGCGTTTTGCTCGGGCTGACTACAGCGGCGCCGGATGGAGCAATGGCACCGGAGCATGCGGGCGACATCGACCCGTGGCGCACGGACAAACATATCTGTGTTGTCAATTTTTTTCGTTTTTTTTCTGACTTTCCGTGTTGGTTTTGTGTGATGACGTCGTCACTGGTTTTGTAGAGAGACCCGTCAGAGATGGCGTGGCTAACCCGGGTGCATTGCTTTTGTGCCTGATCGTGGAAGACCCCTTCAATGTGGAACCATTCGTAGCTAGTGTCGATATTTTTCACTGCAGTACCTAACACAGACGATCGGGAGAGATTCGGGTGATTGTCAATTGCTGCTATGATGGCTTTGGTTGGTTGTTCTTTTTCACCGTACGGCCGCAGACACATTCTGACAGCACATCAGACAGCAGCTTTGTGCCCCGCCAGCTGCTTGTTCCATGCCTACCATGGTGTTTTTGTACAGACAGCACTTCAGACAGCAGTATGCTGTAGTCGGTAATCTTCCGTTTTGGTATAGAGTGGGACAGGGAGGGGGTGATGCTACTGTAGTCGAACGGTGGGACGGACGTGCAGTTCAGTTTTTGGGCACGCATACACGTACGGTGCTGCAGGGATTTTTAGGTGTACCTCTTCGGGCTCTTGGATATCTTTTTCTCGTTATATGTGTGCGTGTTCTTTAGATCCTCATATGGCTCTAGCACTTTCGTGACCACGGGCTGAGAGTCTTTGCTAGATTTTGGCATTTAGCAACTGACATTCGGTTTAATGTGAAGACAACGACAACAACAATTGACGCCCCCCCACGACGGTATCTAGACCTTGCGCTGGAACAAACAAGCCGCTGTACTGGCATTCGGTATCGCCGCTACGGGGTCATCACATCGGGGTTCCTTTCGCAGTACCGCCGGAGCGCCGGTAAGGCCAGCGTGCTCATATGGGTATCGCACCTATCGGAGATATCGCATGCTCCGTGCAAATCATCTCTGCCAGATTGCGATAGTCGTCGCAACGGATGTGAATTTTGGTGGTATTATACCGATCAATTGGGTAATTCCGCCGCACCTTGTTGTAGTACAGCAGTGCATCTGCAGTATCACAAACGTGAGCTCTCACATACCTTTTGAGCCAAACCACCGAGGGACGCCAGTGTTAGCGTCTCGAACAGCATCCAAATCCCTCCGAACAGCATGTTTGACGCGAATTAAACTCCCTCCCAAATCTCCGAAATCTCCCCCTCTCGGCTCCTCGGTAAGGCAACAGGCCCCCAATTACACGGAACGCGTCCAGCCGAATGCACAACTACCCCCAGGTGGGCGAAGACATCAACCTCGTTCGGCAGAGACGCCTACCAAATGTGTGACACAGCAGCAGCAGCAGCAGCTCTTGCTATGTACCTGCTGTGAGCACTTGCAGGCGGCGGGACAAATAGGATCCAGGAGAAGATAAACGGCGCCTCGCTACACGGAACACCATTGAATCGTAACTACTTACAGGTAGTCCGGCCGTTTCGTTCGTACTTCAAAGGAACGCGCAGAGTATGACGGAAGAGACATCATCATGTAGAATGTAGTCTAGACACGTAGACCCTCCTTTCACCGCCCGGGATCGCACCCGTGAATCACCTGTACGTATATGACAGACAGAGTTCGCATAGCTGCGAAGAACAGTCTACAAGCGTATATTTGACACAGCACGTTCCAGCGTCCTCAGTTTGTGAGCTGTCGCTAAAGAATATACCATCTTGTAGGTGGTCCGTCCGTCCACATTCCAATTTCTCCCTTCGATTCGACTTGGGGTTTAGGGTTGGGTAGGGGCTGGAAGCAGGGATAGGGGTGCGTTTCGGGGGCAGGGTTCACACGAGAAGGGCACGGTTAGGCCTCGGAGGGCCGCCCAATTTCAACTATTGAACACGGCCATCTCGAACTTCGTCGATGGCGCTGCCGTCTTCCTGAAGCCGCCAGCACTCCCTGCCCCCGGGATGGAGAAGAATAACCTCGTTTTCACTCCCGTTCTAGGCAACTGGACACGGCTTTCTAGAGGTGCTGTGTTCTTTCCCGTGTCGGCGCGGCAGTGGTCCAGGGCTGCGTCGAGATTACAAGCAAGCAAGCCCTGTCGCGCATTGATAGCCGGCGCCAAGCGCCCCAGGACAGCTTACGGAAATTCTTCTATACGCCACGGTCGCGTAAAAAAAGGTGGCGCCGCATGATTTCTGCTGCTGCTGTGCAGCCGCTGCTTTCGATGGTTGATGCGTCGGCACCGGCTTTCCAGCGGACAATTGACCACTCCCTCCGCCGAAATGCGGTCCGCTACAGGGCACACATGCCAATGCGAGTGGCGCAGCCGCTGCTTTCGATGGTTAATTAGACTAGTCGGCACCGGCTTTCCAGCGGACAATTGATCCCTCCTGCTGGAAAGCTTAGTGCGCCCGGCGCAGTTGTAGACGGCAAAAATAAAAGAACCGCGCGGCGAGTTTACCGGCAACGATAAAATACAATAAACTGCCCGCGGGTGTGGTAACCCGCCGCATCTGTGATGTTCCGGAGCGTGATGGCTCTGATGTGTTGACGCTGGTGTTGTGATAGCTCTTGTGATGGCGTGATAGCCTAGAGGCGTGACAGTCTGGCCGCTTGATAGCAGGTGGGTATGTAGTATGGACAGAGCGTGATAGCCGGGCAGAGGAAGATGAAAAATATCCAAGCGCACGGGGCCAGCTTTCAAGGAGTGAAGCCGTGGGCGGTAGCTTGCCCCTAGAGATAGATGAAGGTTCTGTCGTTGACACGCTTGTCCACGACCACGTTGAGATGGGAAAGTTGCTTGTTATTGCTGAGAGGCGATCAGCAAAGGTTTGGGATGAAGTGGGGATCCAACTTCATCTCAGGGGGTACAAAGAGTAGACAATTCTAAGTGGGTAGGGGTCAGAAGGGCATACCTCCTGACCGACCCGCATCCTATCAAGAATAAGATGTACCCTATTCATGCTAGCAGCCACACTCCTTAACACTAGCCCACCCTGAATGTAATACATGCAGATGCTATACTCAAATCAATGCTCAAATCCTAAAGCTACAATAAGGTTTTAGCTGATGATTTATGATCATGAATCGAAGATATGACTCTTCACAAAACANTCAGAAGGGTATACCTCCTGACCGACCCGCATCCTATCAAGAATAAGATGTACCCTATTCATGCTAGCAGCCACACTCCTTAACACTAGCCCACCCTGAATGTAATACATGCAGATGCTATACTCAAATCAATGCTCAAATCCTAAAGCTACAATAAGGTTTTAGCTGATGATTTATGATCATGAATCGAAGATATGACTCTTCACAAAACATCCAAAAGGAGGGTGAGTTGTAGAAATATCCCGAATCGATCCCCCACACCATCATTGGGATGAAGAATGCGAACGGTCACGAGACGGAACATCGACATCTCAATGACAACGCTTGAAGGGATAAAGCTACGAAGAATATATATTGCGGCAGACCACGCTATCATCCTGAACAGACGACGACAGGGAAAAAAAATCAATATCCAGACGCCACACACCACTCTTTTACGCGCACCCGCGCGTATCACCGCTGGAGGAATGAGGGTGACTACCCGAGCGAGTCCAAAATATGGTGACGAAACTCAAAACCCAAACAAATTTCCGAACGAATACGGCCTTTGATACTGGACGCGACACAAAGGGAAACCTCAACGCAATCTAGGACGTTACGAAGGGCAGGAGAAAAGGACGACAGGCAAAGGCACGGAGAACGATGACCAGCGTGCCAGGGTACCCAACTCGTATATAAGGAGACGGCAGGGGCAAGACCTATTGAGGACCAAGGATGCAAAGCACAAGCGATTAATGCAAGAGGGACGGTCGACGAACTGCGCCATGGCTCGCTGGCGATACGCCTCATTCAAAGACATGAAAACACAGAAACGTCGTGGAGATTCACACAACAAGACGACGACTCAGGGGCGCTACTGTGATG